TTTTTTTTTTTTTTAATACTGAATATGTACCAATTGAACTCAAAGGAGAAAAGGGTTTGATTTCCAAATATTTTATTATTCATCATTGGATGATAGTTTTCAATGACCTTGAGAATCTCCTTGTGACACTGGTTGGTGTCTTAGATATTGCAAGAGAGGCCACATTCATGTTCATGTGTTCTCTGTCTTATCCTGTCTTTCTCCCATCTTAGTGCAGTGCCTGCAGTCCCAGGCATATTTACCTTATAGCCACCTGGAGAGAAGCCAGTAATGTCATTACAGATGGCAATGTGCCCAGACTATCTTAAAAAAGCATCATTTCTGCTGCTAATTAAGTTTCAGGAAGGGTGATGTTCGCTTTTATATGAACAAGACTTTTAGAAAGGCTGAAGGCAGATGTGTTAGAAGCAATGTTCTTATTCCTGAGAGTTCATGGTTAGATTTACTTGTCCTTTCGTTTTACCACTGATAACTTTGGAACAGTGTCTGCTGTAGGATGGATGGCCTTAGGAGAAGAAAAAGTAGGTAATATTTACATGCTTTGTATCAAATACCAGAGCCTCAGTTTATTTTCCTTTGCTTTTTAGGGTTCTGTACATTGGCCTGGCATGCAATACGGCTCGCTATATTTATATTTCCTACCTGGAAAATGCCTGGACTGTTCTCCCCATGGAAGTCCTTCAAGGTAAGTTAACAGTTGGAATTGGAATTATTTCTCTACCTCACTGAGCTGTGACTGTGGCTTATGGTATCTGAGTCTACAGAGGAAGGGCGGACCTACTATTTTATATGGTTCTGAAGTGGTTGTTAAGGAAGAGGTGATGTCAGGGGAGCTGGTTCTTCGGTTACCCTGAGTTACCCTATTCTGTGTTTGTGGAGGTAAACAAAGCTGGATTTGACCCACACCCCTTTGATTAAACAAAGAAAAAGGAACTCTAGGATAAACTCTTCTGATAGTTGTTCGGCACACAATATTCAAAAGTGGCTTACTAGGTAAAAAGGATTTCTTTTTCATAGGTTTTGATGTTCTTGTTTTTGAAGGTACTACCGGAAAAAGATTGTTCTTGTAATTATTTTATATCTTCAATTATTTTGATCACTCGTGGTTATTTATAGCTAAAGCTCTATCAGCGGACTATTTTCCCATGAACCTTTTCAATCTTTGCTGAAACATCTTGTCCTGAGATCTTTGCTTCATGGAATTGTTCCCCTTCAAGATGTAGCTATGAAATGATTTCTATGACGCCATGTGGTTTAAGACACTGAAAATACGGATTTTATTCACAGGCTCATTGCTATGTTAACTCCCAGAATCCAGACTATATCCTGAAAATCTCTGGTATCAGCTTGGCTAAAATGTTTGTGATTAGAAATGTGATTAAAATAAAGTTTCAGTTAAGGTTCTTATGTGACACCAGACCACTAAATCATTAATTATACTATTTAGTCTGTGATTGTATACAATTTCATTAGCTTTATAGATGGCCGTTCTCATTTTCCCTAACACTCAAATATGTAAATGCAGTAGAATCAACATAATGAATTTCTTGTCATGAAATCCAGATGAAACATTCATAATTACATGTCTAAGCAAACCATACAAAATGCAAGTTCATTTCTCAAATTCCATCATAGAAATGAAAGAAAAAATCCTAAATGAGCAGATGTAATTTATATTCACATTCCAATTATAAAATTCCAGTATATACATACATAAAAGGTGCTTTTTTCAGGTCTTATTCTGGTCTTTATGTATAATTGATAAAAGGAGATTTTGTTTACAAATAGAAAATGAAATTTTGTTTTAAAATAAGAAATTTTTATTTGTAATATTTAGAAATCCAGAGAGTCTTGAGGTGGGGCATTGAGGTGTCTGAGCATTGTGTCATTTAAGAAAAACCAAGCACTAAATGTGATGGCTTTGGATGATGGTGTTGGTGAAGGATACCGAATATACCGTGGACTTCTGGAAGGACAAACAAATCTGTCTTGGAAGAAGTATAGCCAGAATACTCCTTAGAAGCAAGGATGGTGAGACTTTCTCTCTCTTAACTTTGGACATGTTATTGGGAGGGACCAGCCTCTGGAGAAGGACATCATGCTTGGCAAAGTGGAGTCAGTGAAATAGAGAAAGACCCTCAGCAAGATGGATTGACAAAGTGGCTGCAACAATGTCTTGTTCTGTCATATGGGAGATCACTATGAATTGGAACTGACTCAGGGGTACTTAATAATACAACAACAAATGTGAACTGCAGGAAAGAATCATGCTATAACAAGATGTACACACACAGTTCTTAGAATTCCCCGCCTCTAGTTTTTGTTTAGGAACTCTGATGGTATAGTGCCTAAGCATTTGACTGCTAACCAGAAGGCTGGAGGTTCAAACCCACCAGCCACTCCTCAGAAGGAAGGTTGGGCAATCTACTTCCATAGAGATACCGCCTTGGAACCCCAAGGAAGGGTCGCTATGAGTCAGATCGACTCAGTGGCAGCATTTGGGTTGGTTGGGTTTTGGAGTTTTTGTTTGATTCTGTGAGGCGGAATCTTTGCCTGGCCTTTCCGCTTTATTTGTTGGTATGCCACAGTGTGCAGACCCCGTACAAAGACTTGTGTGCTTCCAGAAGGAAAAAGTGTATTGTAAAAATATATGTATATATCTTTTTTTCTCCTTTTAATTTAATATGAATTAGATGCAAAAGGACAGTTCATATAATAGACTCAGGAAGAGAAAACATCATACCCATGTTCATCAGAACACCATTCACAATAGCAAGGAGATGGAAACACCCTAAGTGCCCACCAACTGAGGAATGGATAAACTGTGGTACACACACACAGTGGAAAACTATGCAACCCTAAAGAGTAATGTAGAATCTGCAAAACACTGCATAATGTGGATGAACTTGGAGGACTTGATGCTAAGTGAAATAAGTCAATCATGGAAGGACAAATATTTTATTAGTTCACTATTGTAAAAAGTTAAGAAAAGGTTTATACATGGAAGGAAATTTTCTTTGTTGATTACCAAGGATAGGAGGCTAAATTCCTAGATAGATTGAGAAAGAAAGAAAGAAAGAAAGAGATGGGTTTCTGAGGCGGTATCACTACGGAAGTAGATTGCCCAACCTTCCCTCTGAGGAGTGGCTGGTGGTTTGAACCGCCAGCCTTCTGGTTAGCAGTCAAATGCCTTAGGCACTACACCACCCAAGCTCCCATATATGTATGTATGTATGTATATATGTGTATGTGTGGTGGTTATGTTTGTGTGTCAACTTGGCTAGGCCTGGTTGAGTGGCTGGGCAGCTGGTGGTAGTTTTTCCCCATGATGAAACTGGCAATCAACTCCATGGTGGAATCTACCATAAGCAGCTGAGTGGCTGCCTTTGGGATGTGGTCTGCTTCCTGTATGTAAGGAGAAACCTTGGGGATAGTCTCTAGCTTATGGCATGCTTGGACCCTTCATGTAGCCGTGTCATTGCTCAGTAGCCTGCCATGCTCTTCTGACCTTGGGACTTACAAAGGACTTAAGTGAATGGCCTGACATGTGGTTTTGGTAACATTGGGACTATACCTTATTACTTGTCAACCTTGGGCTTCTCAGCCTCAGCAGTGAGCAGCTGTCTGAGTGAAGAGATGCCTCTAGCTTCAGTGGGCTGGGGGCAGGAGGCAGAGCTGGACCACAAAGTTGAGGGGCTTTCACCCAGCCCCTAGAACCTGGCACTTTGACTTGGACTTAAAGCCTCCAAACTGTAAGAGAATAAACTGTTTTTAAGGCCATCGCATTTGTGGTATATTCTTGTCAGAGTAGCACTAGGTAACCAGAACAGTGTGTGTGTGTGTGTGTGTGTGTGTGTGTGTATATATATATATATATGAACCAAAAGATTATAAGTGGTTATCAGGGGTAGGAGGGAGGGGGGAATGGGGAAGGTTTTGTTTGCGGGTCATTGAGTTTATGCTAATGGTGGTGGAACATTGTGGAAAAGGATAGCAACAATGGTGGTACACATGAAAAATGGAATCAATGTCCCTGAGCTATATGTAAATGGGGAAGTTGTTATGTTGGTGAATGTCTTGTGGTGTGTGTTTTCACCACAATAAAAGTGAAAGAAAAAAAAAAGAAAACATCCACAAATAGTTGTAGAACATAGAAGAATTTAAAAAGAGGGAGAAACAAATGCTGTTATGAATTGAAAACCTTTCTTTCTGTTAATTTTACAGAGATATTAAATGGCTAATAGGGGTCAGACATCATGCTGGGTACCGAGAATATTATACACACAGTTGCACACACACATACATACTTAGGCCCCAAAGTCTCAAGCTAGATGTGTCAACGCTTAACTACTATGTAATGTGTTATATGGAATCAGAGAAAAGCATACCACATACAGAGAACAGCTCCGTGCAGGGAGTGGTTAGCTTTGTGAGGCAGGGAGTGGGAGAATGAGGATATTATTGAAAAATCCCCTATGCACATCAAGTATGAGAAGATTTTGAAAGGTGAACAGCAGTGCACTAGGGGCCTAAAGAGAGCAGGCACAGGGCAGAGCCAGGTGCCAAAGCACCGAAGTGGAAAGTAGAATGACATTTAAATTCAGGGAATCTAAATGGCACGTTGTAGCTAGAGCTCGACGGGTTTACCAACCTAAGCTGCCAACCCAGGACCTAGTTTATCATACTTCAGTGCACCTAGAGTGTATTAGGGACTTGGCCATGTTCTGAATCTAAACAGGAATTCTGCTTTTGGTGGCAGACTACAATTTGTACTTCTGTATTTCATTTTATTCTCTCCTTGTGCCAGTAGAAACCTAGTTACTGAAATGAAGCAAGTGAAAAGGGGCTCTGTAAATACATGGACTCTCCTAGGCCAACAGAAGGGTCTGTGTGGCCAGTTTTCACAGAGCTCTTTGTGTCTATAACTGGAGGGGATGGTTTCATTTCCTGGCAGAAGTGAGTGCTGAGGATCTTGCCTTTGTCTGATTCATGCCCACCCCATTGAAAATAGAGGATCATGCATGTGGAATAAGTCCTGTGTCCCAGGGTATACTTCTGACTAAAAAGGTGTTTTTGGTTTTTGTTTGTTGGTTTATTTCTGCCTGGATTTTTACATCTTTACAAGGCTTGTCCAAATGACTGTAAAGTCCCTGTACTTTTGGAGGCTCTACTTAGGATGCAGAAAATTTGTGAATGATAAAAACAAGATAGTGAATGATTTCATTACAAAGCAAGCCCACGGTCATGATAAACCAAAAACCAAACTAGTCCTTGAGTCAATTCTGGCTCATAGCATCCTTCTCTGTGTTGGTGTAGGGTTGACAGTGACTGATTTTTTGGAAGTAGATAACCAAGCTTTTCTTCTGAGATGACTCTAGGTGAATTTGAACCTCCAATCTTTCAGTTAGCAGCTGAGCCTATTAATGATTTGTACCATGCAGGGACTTCACTGTCATGATAGAGGTCCCTTAACTCCTTGATTGGAAGTGTTACCTGTTTACCAAAGACCTAGTCTTGGCGGTAGAAGGGAGAGGGTAGAGGGAAGGAGACATCTTTCATCACTGATTTTGACTCTGAACAATCAGTACTTCCATCTCTAAATTCCAGCCAACACCACACAAGAAAGTCTTCCTTAAAAATGTGGGTGAAAAGGTTCATCTCTTCATCCTGTTACCTTTGTCTTAT